TTGTCCTGAGCCACCGCTATGGACTTGAGCCAACATGGCTGCGGAGGGGCGAGGAAGAGGACAACGAGGAGGACGAGGAGGAGGAGGCGGAGGAGGAGGAGGCTCGGCCCTCGGCCCGCGAGCCTCGGATAGTCGGCAGCTCCCCGCCCGCGCCGCCGCCAGGTGCGGGTCGCGGCGCCCGGGCGGCCACCGCTGACGGTCGCGCTGCCTCCCGGCGAGCATCCTGCCAAGTCTCTTTTTTGTCGGGGCTTCGTGGAGGGTTATGATGTTCCAACCTGCTTTAGCCTTGATCACCAGAAAGAGTTTCGAGCACCAGGAAGAAGTACCGAGACTCGAGGGTTTTCACGTGTCGGGCCCTGGGAGAAAATCGTCCGACACTGTTTCGACACTCTTCCGACACTTTTCCAGGTGCTCGAGATCATGTGTGGGATGTAGTCCTAAGGTGCAGGGAGGGTTATCCCAAGGTGGGGTCAGGGAGCGCACCCAGGTGGGTGCTCACTCTCAGGGGTCGACCCAAACAGCTTTTTGGCGACGTCGTGGGCCGTCCACGTTTGGGATCTCGTCGTGCAGCAACGGTGGGTTGAAGACAAAGCAAGGGAGAACGACAACCAGGCGAAGACGAAAAACACCGGTTAGCGCGATCCCTGCTCGCTTCTTCTCGTCCCAGGGGCCGTTTGGAGCGACTTCCCGTGAGCCCCGCCTCCGCCCCCGCCCCCGCCCCACTATCGCGCGGCCCCCCGGGTCCTCTCCCTCGCCGTCGCCCTCCACCTGCTCGTCGAACGCCTGCTGTGTTGAGCGAGGCGTGCCACAGGAGGCCTTGCAGAGGGGGGCGGCGGAAGGCGGCACGTTCCCTCGGCGTCGCGTTCCACCTTCACGGAAGGAAGAAATGCAATACCATTCATTGTCGGAGCTCTTCTCGGATTTCTTCGACCTGCGCTGGAGCGCCCCTGGCGGCGCCTTCGGCGCCGCCTCTGGCGCGCTCCGAGCCTTCCGTGGTGGGGGATCCATTGCAGATCACAGAAATTCGCGCTGAGCTCCGAAAGCTTTTGTTCATGTCATTGCATGTTCCTCTACGTCTGCTCCTTGAATGTCTTTGGTTCTGCGCGAGGTGTGCCACACGTTTGCGTCCGAACCATGCGAAGCTCGACATCATGCGAGGGCCCGTGAACATGCGAAGCGTTCGGTCGGGCATGTCTCCCTACAGGCACAGTTTGGACGAAAAATATAACAGACTCCACAAATAGTAAAACAAGTCAAAAATGATAGAGAACTCGTCTCCATATCATTTTTGAATTATTTGTATGAATTCTCCTCCTGTGCAGTGACAGGTCCGACTTAAGCGAAGCGAGGACCCGAGAGCGACCTCGGGAGGGACCGACCGAGGAGGCAAGCGGGCGGGAGGCGAGAGAGGACTGGGGTGGCCAGGTGCGCGCCCGCGCCTCGAAGGCAGTCCTTGTCGAGCTGCGCAGCAAAGGGAGGATCCCATCCCCACAGGCCCTGCCAGTGCTTCTTTCCGGCACCCAGGTCCCACTCAAGGGCCTCAAGAACGGCCCTGCGCGGCAGAGCCCGCCCCACGGCAGGAGAAACTTGCGCGAGGTGAACCTCAAAGCCGTTGTCGTCACGAAGACCGTAAAAGGAGATATAGTCTTGGACATTTTGTCGCATTGATTTCCGCAGTTCTGGTTCCAGCTTCAATCCCAGAGCCTTTTTTGCCCCAACCGTTTTGTGGCGTGAGGTCCCCGTTTTGAAGAAACAGTGCCCCGCGTTCACCTCCTTCTTCTCCTCCTCCTCCTCCTCCTCCTACTTCTCCCCCTCCTCCCTTCATCATCATCAACAACAATATCAGCATCGCCAACAACAGCATCATCATCATCCCCGTCACCAGCATCATCAGCATCAGCATCAGCATCAGCATCAGCATCAGCATCAGCATCAGCATCAGTATCAGCATCAGCATCAGCATCATCACCATCATCATCAGCAGCATCATCATTGCCGTCACCATAGTCATCATCACCATCATTGCCAGTATTGCCATCATCATCATCACCGTGACCAGCATCCTCATCATCATCATCATCATCATCATCATCATCATCATCATCGTCAGCATAACCATCATCATCATCATCATCATCATCGTCATCATCATCAGCATCATTATCACGATCATCATCATCATTTCCATCGGCTGTGGTGCTTGCCCGCCCCCCTTTCTCCCTCCGTCATAATCATCGTCCGCATCATGATCATCATGAGCGTCGTCATCATCATCACAATCAGCAGTATCGTCGCCGTCATCATCGTCAGTGGCATCATCATCACCATCATCATCATACGCCTCATCAGCATCATCATCTTCCTCACCGTCATCATCATCATCATCATCATCATCATCATCAGCATCATCATTGCGTCATCATCGTCATCGTCATCATCATCACCATCGCCGTCATAGTCGTCATCATCGCCATTGCCGCCATCATCATTGCCTTCACCAATGCCATTGCCGTCGTCATCATCATCATCACCATCACTACCATCATCATCGCCATTACCGGCGTCATCATTATCACACCGTCATCATCATCAGCATCATTGTCATCACCATCAGTATCCTCATCATGAGCATCATCATCACCATCATGATCACCACCATTTTGTCATGTCCATCATCATCATCATCATCATCATCATCATCATCATCATCATCATCATCATCATCATCATCATCATCATCACCGCCATCAGCTTCGGCACACCCCTCATACGGTCCGTGGCCCCATAGGGTGCTCCACGAAGTCCCAGTTGGCAGGGTTCGCATGGCGGCCCCCCCCCTCTCGGCACACCCCTCAAACGCTTCGTGGCCCCACAGGGAGCTCTACCGAAGGCCCAAGTGGCAGGTTTCGCATGGCGGCCCCGCTCCATTTTGGCACACCCCGTACACGCTTCGTGGCCCCGGAGGGAGCTCCACCGAAGGCCCCAGTGGCTGCATTTGCATGGCGGCCCCGCCTCATTTCGGTACACGCCCCACACAGAGCTCGGCAGAAGGCTCCAGTGGCAGTTTTCGCATGGCGGAACCTCCATTTTGGCGCACCCCTCTTCTACCGAGGGCGCAGTGGCAGGGGTCGCAGGGCGCTCCCTCCATATTCCGGCACACCCCTCACACATTTCGTGGCGCCATGGGGAGCTCCACTAAAGGCGCAGGGGCAGGGTTCGCAGGGCGCTCCCGCCCCTTTTTAGGCACACCCCTCAAACGCTTCGTGGCCCCAGTAGCGCCACCGAAGGCTGCATTTTGAATGCGGTGCCCACGATTGCACATGGTTGGGCCCTTCGCCAGGATAATGCTGTGTTTCTGGGAGCCTTTTGTGTTTTCAACCGTGTACATGTTCCAGAGACGGTTTTTGAACTAGCCTTGCCGCTTATCCGGCCCACTGCGGTTGAGGAGGAGGCGGAGAGAGCGAGGGGAGGGAGGAGAGTGTGCGGGGGGGGCGGGACATGAGCAATACCAGGCCGACCTCCACTTCCCCGCCCCCATCCTCCACTGTTTGTTTCTTCCTTCCTTCTCTCTCCCTCACTCATCTACCCTCCTCTTCCCTCGCCCCTCCTCTTCCCCATCCTGCCTTCTGCCTCCGCCGCCGACGAAGATATCCCGTGTCTCCCATCTGCTGTGCACGCGCCCCCCAGACGTCCCGACACATTCCCCCGGGGCGGGCGTTTCAGCCCAAATGGTCTTCAGACGGCCCCCAGGAAGTGGCCCCTGGAGACCGAACCCCACCTTGAGTTCCCCCCCCCCTGCTTCCCTCCGTATCTCCATTGGCTCGGCCGACCTGGACATCCTAAACGCTTCAACGCGTCGCGGCCCCCCAACCCTCCAGAGCCAGGAGGGGAGGGGAGGGGAGGGGCAAACCCCTCCCCGAAGGAGAGGAAAGGGATTAGCAGGACGAGCTCGCTAAACCGCCTCCGCCCAGAGGGCTGGGTGGGATCGATACCTCGACCTCCCCCCATCCCCCTCCTAGACCCGCGGACCTCGAACGTCACTCCTGGAGCGCCCAATAACGCTCAGAGACATGCGACGGATTCAAATCTCGACCCTCCCACACCCCTCCCCCCCTCCGTCCTCGGACCTCGAACCTCACTCCAGGAACGCCCCACCACGCCCACAGACATGCAAACTGTTGACAGCTCGACCCTCCCCCGCCCCCCCTCTCCTCGGCACCTCGAGCCTCACTCCACCCCCCCCCCTCGGTCCTCGGACCTCGAACTTCACCCCCAGAACGCCCCACGAAGCCCACAGGCATGCAACACATTTGAATCTCGGCCCTCCCCCCTCGGCACCATTATAGCCTCCCCTCCCCCCCCCTCCCTCGGTCCGCGGACTCGAAATTTCACCCCTGGAACGCCCCACGGCGCCCAGAGGCATGCAACATGCATGAATCTCAACCCTGCCCCCCCCCCTCTCGGCACCTCGCGCCTCGCCCCTCTCCCTCCTCGGCATCTCTCTGGACCTCGACCCCCCTCCCTCCTCGGCATCTCCTCGGCATTTCCCTGGACTTACGTCGGGCCTGTCCCTCTACAGGAGAAATGCCCCAAAATAGACAAAAGATAGTCTGGGGACGATGTCTTGACACTTCCTGACCCTTTTTGAGCATCTTTTGGGTATTTGTTTTTGTCGTCGAATCTCTCAGTGTAGGTGGCAAGCCCGACTTAATCCTGGAGTTCGACCCCCCCCTATCGAAACAAACAATGACATAAACATAAGGGTCCAACGCCGATCCGAGAAATCCTCGCGGACCTCCGAGCTTTGATGTTTGTGTCATTGTTCGTTGCCCTAACACCCCCCCCCTCGGCATCTGTCTTGACCTCCACCCCGCGTTGCGGACAGCGTCGGGGCCTACTCAAGACCAGGTGGGCGAGGCCGTGGCCTCGGGAATCTGGCGTGTCTGGACAACACGAGACAATTGCGGAACAACAAGTTAGAGGAGACAACTGCGAGACAGATGCGCGACAGTGCTGGACCTCCGCCTCGCCCCCTCGGCATCTCCCTGGACCCGGCCGCCTGCGAGCCGCCGCGCCTGCACCGCGGGGCGCTCTGCATGCGCTGGGGGGCGCCGGCGGCGCGGCCTCCGTCGCCCGGCGGCGGCTGGCGCGAGGAGCCCCGCAGGCACGCCGCAATCACGCTGAGGTCGAATCATAGCTTGTCCCACCCCCTCCCTTCCTCCCTCCCTCCTCCTCCCTCCTCCCTCCTCCTCCCTCCCTCCTCCTCCTCCCTCGTCCTCCTCCACCCTCCTCCCTCCCTCCCTCCCTCCCTCCCACCTCCCTTCTCCTCCCTCCTCAGCCTCCCGCCCTGCCTCCCTCCCTGCCTCCCTCCGTTCCTCCCTCCCTCCCTCCCTCCCTCCTCCCTCCTGCTCCCTCCTCACCCTCCCTCCCCTCCTCCCTCCTCCTCCTCCTGCTGCTGCTGATGGCGGACGTGGGTCGCCCTGCAGCCACCTCTCCAGCTCCCCCCCGCCGCGGCTGGGCGGGGGGGAGGGGTTCATTCGGGAAAATGTGAGAAGGGGAAAGGTGGAGAGAAGCCTCCCGGTTAGGGAAAAGGTGAGATGAGGGAAGAGCACGCGCACGATCTCTAATTACCAGGTGGGGGGAGGGGGGACGCCTGATGTAAAGCAGCACAGACGGAGGCCAAATAACCCCAAGTGCGAGAAGGCAAATCCCCAAAGGGGAGGGGAGGGCACAGAAAGTGGGAGAGGCCACAGAAAGGAGAGGGAAGAGGGAGGGAGAAGGAGAGGGAGGGGGGTTCGCCTCTAGGCCCTGGGGGTGGTTTGGTCGCCCGTCTCCTCATTTTCCTCCTCCTCCTGCTCCTCCTGCTCCTCCTTCCTCCTTCTCCTCCTCTTCTTCCTCCTCCTCAGTCGCTGGCGAAGAACCCAACCATATGCAGTTGTGAGTAACGCAGTTGTAGTATCATCTTCGGTGGAGCTCCCTATCGGTTCATGGAGCGTGGGAGGGGTGGGCCGAAGTGGGTGCGGTGGGCGCATGCGAACGTAGCCTGTGGGGCCGTAGGTGGAGTTCCCTATGGGGCCACGAAGCGTGTGATGGGTGTGCCGAAATGGGTGCCGCGGGCGCATGCGAACGCAGCCACTGGGGCCTTTGATGGAGCTCCCTGTGGGCCGACGAAATTTTGAGGGGTGTGCCAAAATGTGTGCGGCGGGCACACGCGAACACTGGTATTTAGGCTTTCGGTGAAGCTCCCTATGGGGCCACGGAACGTTTGAGGGGTGTGCCGAAACAGAGACATGCGGATGGCAGAGGCAAAGGTGAGAGGAGAGAGGAGGGGGAGAAGAAGGAGAGGAGAGGAGAGGAGAGGAGGGGAGGGACGCGGGGCGCTTTCTCTTCAACACGTGAACCGGGACGGTTGGGGACAACAATTGCATTATATATATATATATATATATATATATATATATATCGGCGTTTCGCGCGGATTTCTTGGATCTGCGCTGGGCGCCCCTGACGGCGCCTTCGGCGCCGCCCCTGACGCGCTGCGTGCGCCAGGGAAGGGGGCCCAGCGTAGATCCAAGAAATCCGCGCGGACCGTTGAAGGCTTTCCTTACGCTGTTTTTTCCCAACCATCCTGTGGTGTTGGGTCCTCGTTTTGAAGAGACGTCGCACCGCGTTTCTCCTCCTCCTCCTCCTCCTCCTCCTCCTCCTCCTCCTCCTCCTCTCCTCTCCTCTCCTCCTCCCCCCTCCTCCCCCCTCCTCCCTGCGTTTCACCCACCCAGTACAGCGCTTCGTGGCCCCATAGGGAGCTTCACGGAAAGCTCCAGTGGCTGCTTTCGCATGGTGGCCCCGCCCCATTTTGGCGCACCCCTCACGAGGATCGTGGCCCCATAGGGAGCTCAAGCGAAGGCTCAAGTGGCAGCGTTCGCATGTGGGCCCCGCCCCATTTCGGCACACCCCTCACGAGGATCGCTCCACCGAAGGCCCCAGTGGCAGCGTTCTCACGGCGGCCCCGCCCCATTTCGGCGCACCCCTCACGAGGATCGTGGCCCCACAGGGAGCTCCACCGAAGGCCCCAGTGGCAGCGTTCTCACGGCGGCCCCGCCCCATTTTGGCGCACCCTTCACGAGGATCGTGGCCCCACAGGGAGCTCCACCGAAGGCGCCAGTGGCTGCGTTCGCATGTGGGCACCGCCCCATTTTGGCGCACCCCTCACGAGGATCGTGGTTCCGTAGGGAGCTCCACCGAAGGCCCCAGTGGCAGCGTTCTCACGGCGGCCCCGCCCCATTTTGGCGCACCCTTCACGAGGATCGTGGCCCCACAGGGAGCTCCACCGAAGGCCCCAGTGGCTGCATTCGCATGGCGGCCCCGCCCCATTTCGGCACGCCCCTCACGAGGATCGTGGCCCCATAGGGAGCTCCACCGAAGGCCCCAGTGGCTGCGTTCGCATGGCGGCCTCGGGCCATTTCGGCGCACCCCTCACAAGGATCGTGGCCCCATAGGAGCTCCAGCGAAGGCCCCAGTGGCAGCGTTGGCATGGCGGCCTCGCCCCATTTCGGCACACCCCTCACACGTTCGCGGCCCCATAGGGAGCTCCACCGAAGGCGCCAGTGGCAGCGGTCGCATGGCGGCCCCGCCCCATTTTGGCGCACCCCTCACGAGGATCGTGGCCCCACAGGGAGCTCCACCGAAGGCGCCAGTGGCAGCGTTCTCACGGCGGCCCCGCCCCATTTCGGCGCACCCCTCACGAGGATCGTCGCCCCACAGGGAGCTCCACCGAAGGCCCCAGTGGCTGCGTTCGCATGGCGGCCCCGCCGCATTTCGGCACGCCCCTCACGAGGATCGTGGCCCCATAGGGAGCTCCACCGAAGGCCCCAGTGGCTGCGTTCGCATGGCGGCCTCGGGCCATTTCGGCGCACCCCTCACACGTTCGCGGCCCCATAGGGAGCTCCACCGAAGGCGCCAGTGGCAGCGGTCGCATGGCGGCCCCGCCCCATTTTGGCGCACCCCTCACGAGGATCGTGGCCCCACAGGGAGCTCCACCGAAGGCGCCAGTGGCAGCGTTCTCACGGCGGCCCCGCCCCATTTCGGCGCACCCCTCACGAGGATCGTCGCCCCACAGGGAGCTCCACCGAAGGCCCCAGTGGCTGCGTTCGCATGGCGGCCCCGCCGCATTTCGGCACGCCCCTCACGAGGATCGTGGCCCCATAGGGAGCTCCACCGAAGGCCCCAGTGGCTGCGTTCGCATGGCGGCCTCGGGCCATTTCGGCGCACCCCTCACAAGGATCGTG